GTAGAAATTTGTAATATGTTTAAAAATATTTTCGAATTAAATGACATAAGATATCTTTGAGAAACAAAACAAACAAAAGAAATGATGTTACAATTTTCTGTTTTTTTTTCTACGTTTAATTAATTAAATAATATATTTTATATCATTTCGGAATTAAATGAAATTTATGAAGACATTACGGCGTTTAAAAGATTAATGTAATCATTCTTAATAAATTATGAATACATTGAAAAAAAAAGTATTTAGAATTTTCGCCCCTTTTTCGTATAATGTAACATGGTGTTCCACACCACACAGCGTTCACTTGTTTATTATCATGCACTCTGTTATATCTAAATCCTGACACGAAAAATGACAAACCTTGAATGTGACAAGTGCAGAATAAGACATGATGCTTGGTGATTATTTGGCTGTTAACACTGACATCTTTTATGCGTTTTATGACTGGTGCAGTGTAACATACATGTAAAGAGCACATAACTACACAGGTTTGTGGTTCCGGCCAAAAATAATTTTTCCTTTTTGTATCAAGTCGTTCGTAGTTTATTTTTGTCTGATGGTCTGTCAGATGAAGCGATTTTTAGCTTCACTTTTGGTTTATGCGTAATTTTATTTTCCATTGTTAAAGAAAGCGTAAGATGCCTACGCGAGTTCAGAAGTTTTCAACTGATCAAAGTGTTTGATATTATAAATTTGGACATCCTACGTGGAAAACAATATATATCTAACTGTTAAATGAAACAATGTTTTTTATATTTTGTGTAAATCTTAAAATATATAGATTGGAAAAATACACATAAAAACGTTCGATTTCTTTTCCGAAATACGCTTCATAATCGAATTTTTTTTTCACACTTTTCGTCCTTTTTTCAACGAAAAATTTAAGTTAAAATTTATTTTTTTTATAGTCAGGATAGTAACTCGAATATGTCTTTTTATGAGTTTATTACCTTTGCCTAAAATTAGACAGATTGCTTTAGCAAAAAGACACTATTCATGGGAATTAATATTCCGTAAAATACAGTCTTCAACAGCTGTAATAACGTAACTATTCAGGCAATTTTGATCTCGCGAGATTAAGCTACCCCGTGAACACCTATCGAAACATCTCTGACTCGACCTATACCCTACGGCCTTAATCCACTCTGGTGTAAAACTTTCCGTGTCGATGGCGTTGATACTGTGGTCGAGTGTCCTAGTACACTTTGAACTAAAAATTAATTTTTCATTTCCTCTAGTTTTTCATTACTTTCAATATTATAATAATAAAATGCCAATTTGCGATAAAGTTACACGTGTTCCGATGGGTCTTCTTTCTTTCTTTTTTTTCAAATAAGCTTTTGAAGATATAAAATATTTTATTTTATATGAAACGTATTTCTTTTAATCACCTTTAAATATTAAAATTACACTTAAATTTCAATTAATGATTAACTATGGGTTTCTATGGAGAATACTAAAATATGATTTAGGCATGACGTCACTGATTCCCCCTGCGCCGTATGGCGGAGTTCCGTTCTGCTTTGTTTCTGCTATTGGTACATTGGACATTTATAGGAAAAAGTCTGGGAAAATGATGTACACAAACTATTTTTATAGAGTATGGAGGTGTAACATCGTGTTTGACCTATTATACAAATCGTTGTGTTGTATTTTATCATCTGAAAAAATAATGATTGTGTTTTATAGATACGTGTGAAGCTAGAGCAAAAAGGTTAAAACCACATAAAGTATATGCAAAGCCTTGCGTATATCCTTTTTAAATTGAAAACGGAGGAAATATTATACCGGTATTAAAATCTTTGACATTTTTTCTTCTTATTCTAATTCTCAATTTCATAAGGGAGGAGTTTTGGCTTTTTACTTCTCGCTAACTCCCCCCTTCCCCCTCCTGTAAAGTGATAATTTTCTAGGAAAATTTTTTTTTGCTTCGTGTATTTGCTAATTTAAAATTATTTCTTTTATTCTACAGACATTTTTTTTTGCACTGGTGTGTAATGAAGTATATACATGTTTTTTTAAAATCATTATTTCAATAAGGAAAAGAGGACAGAGATATTTCTTTTTTTTTTCTCTGTCGTATTTTTCAAAATTGTATAAAAGAGACACTCTCGTATAAGATTACAAACCTAATATGTTCAAAATAAAAAAAATCAAATCTGCATTTTTTTTTTAAAAAAAAAATCAGCAATTGAAAAATATAAATAAAAGACAATTCTTTCCAGAAAGTATAACTCAATAAAATTTTCTTTACTATTCAAAATATTTAAAATTTGATTTATTCAGCATCTTCAGGTCGTCCATTTTTTTCGGTTGGGTTTGGTTTGGTTTTAAATAGGAAATTTAAAAAATCACGTTTCTCGATGGTCCTTGCAGGCAAAATAAAGGAATATAAAAATCAGTACTTTTGATCAGATAAAAAAAAGTTCTTTTTTTTTTTTAACTTATTATAATGAACGAACAAGGAAATCAGAAACTACGGTATATTATGGAATTTTCTTCATCGCATTCCAATCATGTCATCGATGCATATACTGTGCAGAATTACACCATTGGTTGCATAAGTAATTAATATTAAATGGTCATTTGAAAGGTCAAGTCGGTCACGCTTGATCAGGCCTGCTTGTCGTATTTAATGATCTGTGTCGATTTGCTGATTATAATCTTGTTTTATCAAATATTACCGTTATGTTATTGTAAGTCATGTTTCGCGGGGAAGTGTGTTTTGGAATATTTCCACAATGGCGATGGAGTGTTTAACTAATTTTTTTCTCCAGGGATCAAGGTTACATTTTTACTGAAATGTAAGTTCAAATTTGATTGATAAGAAACTATATCAACACTTATATGCAAGTTAGTAGTTCTGTATTTAGTTATGACATTATAGCAACATTCGTAAATATCGTAGTAATCTTATCATAAAGGTTTTAGAAAATACCTGATCAATAAATTAAGGTAGCTCCACTCTCACATTTTTATTGATTCAAAGTATATGACCGGCACCATTTTCCATTTAATTTAATTAACAATAAAAAAATTCACAGGTTGTCATATATATATATTTTTATATATATTTCAGACATGCATTAACAGGAGTGTAAACATAAAAACATCAAACATTTTTGATAAATAGCTTTACTAAAATGTGTGAAAACTGGTTTAAATGACATAATTTATTATAAAAAGTTTCAAAAGAAAATGCTATATACATTGTTAAGAAAAATTTAAAAAGGAAAGACTATTTGCCTTTGTATCATTTTTGAAAGAAAAAATAGGGAGAATTTTTTTTTTATAATTTTTTTATTAAACCAAAGTTCTGATCAAACTTATTGAAATACACTTTTGCAAAAGACAGACACATGTAGTTCTATTTGGCACAAAGTTTAATAAAAGAAAGATTTCGCATAACCCTTTGACATCCCAATGAGGTTGGAAATTCCTTAAATTGTGAAAAATTCTTCGCTCTAGAATTTTGAACTTTATTTAAATCTTTCTTTAAGAAAAATAAAAATTCCAGAGAGATACAAGCGAATGGAACTGAATTCACAATTAAATAATAGTTTAATATATTCCTATATAATATATGCTTCCTACGGGCCTGATACACGTATTGTTTAGTAAACAACGTCATGATGACTTGAAGGTTTGAATATGACATGCTGAGTCAGACGTTTAAGGCAAAGATCTATAGTGAGTGAAAGGAGCTTACATTTCTCCCAAATTACCTTCAGAAAAGTGTTCTTGACTATTTTATATGGGTATCGGGATTCATATGATAGTTTCAAATTGAATGCCATAAAAATACATCATTTTCTACAGAATGCAATATCCTTGCTGTATAAAGAACGGGAAATTAATTATGACGTCATAATGGATCAGTTCAGCCATGTAACAGTTCAACCTGTGACTGTGTAACAGTTTGACTGTTTCATGATGTGCAAAAACATTAAAATGAATCAAGAAACAGTTCAAAATGCCTAATTACAATATTCATTTATTTATTTATTAATTACAATATAATAATATCTAATAGTAACAGGAATATTTACAAAATACCAAAATATCAATAAAATTACGCTGTACTTTTATCAAATAGATTTTTCTCTTATTGGATAAGGTACATAGTAAAATCAAACGTGACTAACTGCCTACGATTTTTATGATTGACAATTCATACCAAAAAACAAATCCCTGAAAAAAATTATGCAAGAAAAAAAATATAACCCTGGTCTCCACTGTTCTGTGGCTAGAACACACTTGACTCTAAATGTCGTTGGTTACCACATATAAATGTTTCATTTCTACGGAGAACATCATTCAATCGATCGATATCATTGCCACTTTATTTTTCTGTCCCATAAAACCCTCGATGAAGGACCATATCGCTAACCGCCTATACCTTTCACCATCGTCTCCAACAAACCGCCGACTCACTAAAATATACGCATTATTACCCACAATACTTTGCATGAACTTTGTCGAGATTCTCGCCAAAACAGTCACTTATCAGTTTAGGTGGGGTTAATATTTTTCGTATTATCGATTTTAGCTGACCTGAAGGCAAAATTCAGAAATGAATAAACTTTGGTTTCACATAATATGAAGTAGTCATACACAGTTCATTTGATATGTATATTTTGAATTATGCATTTACTTTGCAATATAGCATGCTAACTTTTTGCATTCTGCTAGATAACAAACAACAAACTACATTAAGACAGTTTAAGTCTGTCGAAGAATGCATTTAGCCATGAAGTCAGTGTAACATCAAGTGATTGTGTCTTGCAATAATCATTAAAACTTTTACTTGTATGGTTTCAACCATATTTAAACTCTCAATTTCTGAATAGATTTGGTATTTGAGATTTATAATGAAGCACATTCAAAAGAAAGTGTTTTATCTCAAGATCGATAAATATTCACATTTCATCAGAAATGGATTATATTGTTTTAAGTTTTTTTTTACACAAATCTCATTTGTAGATCCGTCAATCTTCAAAATGGTACGTCATCAACCGTCATCGTGGCTCGGGGTTTTGAGCTGCCTATTCTTCTTCATTCAAATAATCCCTCTATCATCATCTCAACGTAAGTTTCTCATACAAGTATAATACAAGAATGTGTCTTGTCTTTATCATTTTTTTGGAGGTCTATTTCCCAATTTCCGGTTGGCGATATCATCACTCAACTCGAATAATTTGCATTTGTTGCCAAAAAATAGTACATATATTATTATCAGTACAATTGGTACAGTTTGATTAATGAATCAAAATCAAAATACTTTTTTTTTAATTAACCTTTCAATAGATATTCCACGCCTCTACTTTCACTTTATCTTTTCACACAGAGTTGAATTGTCGAGTCCCATCAGATATAGTGTTTGTATTGGACGGTTCAGAAAGTCTAAAAGACGATGACTTTAAAAGTATGAAAAAGTTTGTGAACAATTTATTACTGGGTTATCCAGTGGAAGAAAACTACACGAGGATCGGCGTGATTGTATTCGGAACCTATCCGGCCGATACCATAGAACTTACGTCAACGTACAACAAGTATTTATTGGCGGCAAGGATTGAAAATCTTGCTCACCCAAAATCCGGTACCGGAACTGCTCGGGCGCTAGAGGCCATGAGAGAAATGTTCCGAACAAAAAGTTGTGAGTAGCTATCTTTTTATATTTTTTCTCCTTCTTTCTCGACATCGTATAGAAGTCAAGATAAGAGAATAGTGCAGTGCAGAAGATTGAACCAGTTTCAATTTATCTGTCCAAGGTTTCTTATATATCTTCAATGAAAATATCTGTTGTTCACTTCTCATGCTTTTTATTTCTAACTTGCATTTCAAATCACATGACATTACGCTGAGCATAGGAAAGTTCAGTTCTGCTACATTCTTCTTTCTGTAGTCTTGTCGATTCAAAAGATGCCTCATGTTGCATTTAGTACTTTCCAAAAAAAAAATCGTATGACAGATATACAAGAAATTCAGCGGTCAATTTTTCTTTAAAAATGAATTGCAAATTGACGACGACATAAAAATGATTCATTTTCTGGTTCTCGTTTTATTGAACTTTCATCAGTGTAAGGGACATTTTGCTTCAGAAAACGCACGGCGAAGCCATTACATCTACCTATTTCACCTATTGTAATATACATTAGGATCACCTGCATTTTTATGCCCCCGTAATAGAAGATTCGGGGGCATATAGTTTGTGTTCTGTCCGTCTGTCTGTCTAACTGTTTGTCTGTTTGTCCGCAAAAACTTTAACCTTGCTCATAACTTTTGATTGGCTATGGCTTTCATATGTCACATGTGTTTTCCTTGTGACTTTTTGGGCACTATCAAATTTGACTTTTTGACCTTGACCTTGGAGTTTGACCCACTTTTGCTAATTTTATCAGACTTTATCCTTGGCCATAACTTTTGAACAATTGGTGCTAGGGCTTTTAAAACTTTATATGTGCATTTCTTGTGAGAAGGCCTTCCTTCTGATACCAACAACTTTGACCGTTTGACCTTGACCTTTGAGTTTGACCTACTTTGGAAAATCTTTAACCTTGGCCGTAACTTTTAAACAGATGGTGATAGGGTTTTTATACTTAACATGTGTATTCCTTGTGACAAGACCTTCCTATGAATACCAAACCAATAACTTTTATCCTTGACATTGACTTTGGAGTTTGACCTACTTTTGAAAAACTTTAACCTTGTCCATAACTTTTGAACAGTTGGTGCTAGGGCTTTCATACTTCATATGTGTAATCCTTATGACAAGACCTTCCTTTGGATACCAACAGTTTTGGCCCATTGACGTTTTACTTACTTTTGAAAAATTTTAACCTTTGCCATAACTTTTCAATGGTTTGTGTTAGGGCTTTCAAATTTCACAGGTATATTCCTCAAGACAAAACATTTCTTTGGGTACCAACATTTTTTGATCTTTTGACCTGGAGTTTGACTTGCATTTGAGAAACTTTAACCTTCGCCATAAGCTGCCGTACGGAGGCATCAGTGTTTAACAAACACATCTTGTTCTTATGGAAATTTTAAAAAGGCTTAATTGATCCCCATGTTTTTCAAAGTGAAAAGTATATGGAATTGTATAAAAAATTATTGTAATGCAGGTAATTTGGAGATATTTTTATGTTATTAACAACTGATGGCCTCTTTGCATGTTCAAATTTCATGCACCAAACACAAATCATTATTGCTAAAAGAGATAAATGAAACCTTAATTTTTAAAGTGAATATTATGTCTGACAATTATAGCACGGGACTTTGTACATCGTGTGGGAGTGGTCATCACGGACGGTCGCTCCGCTCGACCGGATCAGACGAAAAACCAGGCAGCCATGGCACGTGCGGAAGGCATCACTCTGTTAGCTATAGGATTCGGATCTAGCATTTTCACGTATGTCTAACCGCAGTTTCGAATGTAGTAAAATTGTTAAACTTTATCAGTCCTTGACATTTCTTAGATTTATTTTACAATGACGTTATAAGACTCAGAAATATACTGCCTATAATTTAATTTTTCTGAAGTCTATCATGTTTCTTGGAATTTTCATAAATAATCCTTTCCTTGCATTGGACAAAATTTCACATTTGTACGATACATATCTCAATAATCAATGGGCAAAAATAGATTAATCTGTGTTTCCTTGCAGAATATAATTGTTATGCTAAATATTTTGCATTTATTACTTTTTTTTCTACCACAGCAATACTATAGATAAATAAATTCTGGGTGTTTTTTGTTTTCAGAACGGAATTAGAAACAATAGCAACTGCCTCCAACGTATTCAGTGTGGCTAATTCTTTCAATGACTCTTTGGAGAGAGTAGACGCTGCTTTAAGACCCTTGGTCTGTGAAGGTATTATCACAAAATTGAGAAACGGTATTCTTTAGCAAAGATGAATTATTGAATGCAATTGCATGGTTTCAAATTTCCATGTCTTAAGTATCGTTAAGAACATCAAACTGTATGTAAAAATAAAGTTCGGAAAAAGAGGCAAAATTTGGGGGCGCGAAGCAAAACAACATACATGTACTAGTAGTATTTTTAAAATAAAAATTTTAAAAAGCCTTGAAGTATTTTAAAATGCAATTTAAATTCGCATTGTAGAAAATTTATCTGCAGTGTTGAAGACAAAAGTAAAGATTTGGTCTGAGCAAACATCGGTTATAAAAACAGTAAATTAATTACCTATAATTATCTTCCTGCTTTTCCTATAGCACCCCCTGTTATTGTATTATCTGGCGGGTCTACTGTTCTTCTCGGAGGAAGTATCATCTTGACTGCAACGATAAGCACAGCGTCCAATATAACCTCCATGAAATGGCAGAAGGTCACCGGAAGTGGCGTAGTTACAGATATAGACATTGCGTCCTCTTCTGGGAAATACTCCGGAAGCACTGTTTCGTCATTGAACCCAAGACTCGTTATCAACAATGCTAATTATAATGATGGCGCCATCTATAGGCTTGTGGTAACAAACACTGGAGGGGAGACTACCAGTAACCTTATTGAAATCCGAGTTGTCGGTAATATTTAAAAACAATTATTTATTTGATTTTAATTGACTGTTCTTTTTTGGCCTTTAAAAACTTGAAAATGAAGAAGTGATTATTATTTTCCAAGCAAATACTCATACATTAGAAAATTCCTTTGCAGAACTCCCAAGCATTACCATAACCGGAAGTTCTATCGTAGGATACGGAAGTACAGCTACATTGTCAGCTGTTATTTCAGCAACCGTCCAAATTCTGTCCGTCAGATGGCAGAAAGTGTTCAGTAACGGTGCCGCCTATGACATCGACGTGATCGGAACTTCCGGAAAATACAGCGGAAGCACTAACTCTATAACTAACCCTGTGCTTGTGATCAATGGAGTTGACACCACGGATGAGGCTAATTACCAGTTAGTAGTCACAACAGCTCTAGGAGAGGTGTCTAGTAACCAGATAAACCTAATCGTTACCGGAGGTATTGCAGTATTGATTTCTTCCATTGTATCTTTTTCAAAACAGTTACGTGTATGATGAATTTGTTTCTTATTGTTCGGGTTAATTAGTCAAGTGTGTATTTTAGCTTGAAAGCCTTCTATGTTGTATCAAAATCTTTCTCAGCCGTTAAGAGTAAGATTTTTTACAACCGTTTTGTTTATTCATATTGATAAAGATGTCCATCTCTCAATTAATTCAATGTCCATCTCTCTTAATTTTGTTACTTTTTGTATACAGTCTTGATCATTTCGGATGAAAGTAAGAGATTTCAAAAGCTTAAGTTTACGACATCAATATTACAATCAGCAAATAAATGGTGCTTTCACGAATCAGTTTATTTTTTAAAAAAGATATATTAAATTATCAATAGATGTAAAAAAAAAAAAAAAAAAAAATTAATTTGAAATACTACAATTAGCACTGTTTCCAAATTCTATTTTCCAGGCCCCACCAGTCCAATCACTACAACAAGAGCTTTACCTTTCACAACAGACAGAATCAACTCAATAGCACGTGAGTACATGTAAACAACTACACTAGTCGTAAAAAGTTTTCTAAACTACGAGCACCTTTTTTTTTAGCTTTTTGCTATGTCCTAAAAATTGAATTAAGTTTTTAAATGACCAGTTACTGTATAACTGTTAACCAATTTTTTTCAAAAATCTTTTAACGATTTTTTTTTCTTTCTAAGATTTAATATATTAAAGATATATCCTTTTTTCTCTTTTCACAGCTGAGATTTGTCCAAACTGTATTATTGGCCGGAACTGGGGCTACAAATCCGTGGCGGGAGACTGTACAAAGTTTATCTACATGTTACCTGACGCTGATGGGAAGGCATTAGAATTTATGCACGTGTGTCCCTGGGGTCAGTTTTGGAATTTGAATCATCTGACATGTCAACCCGCCCACGAAGTATATTGCCCAGACAGTAAGTATTGGAACAGTTAACATGCACAGTAGACACTTTTTTTATCCGACACCTCTGCAGTCCGTTTCATTGTGAATTTTGACTTTCAATTTCATTCCCATTTCTACTACTTTCTATGTTCTTTACACTGTGTAATCCGACATCATGTTTATTCCGACACAAAATTTGTCTCACGGTGCATGTCTGATTACACAGGTTTCACTGTATAATATTGAGATAGAGGCCCTATATTGCCAAGAAGATAGGTTCTAACAAAATTTGAAGCCTTGGCTATTACCTAAAATATGGTATTGAAAATACGGGTAGGATTATTATATTTTTTCACAAAAGGTAATATAATTCCAATAGACATTTGTTATCAAGGATACTTACTCCCCAGATAGTATATAAAATGAAATAGCAGAAAATACACTAAAACTGTCTAATCCCACACCTGTGCTATTCTTTTCCCTGTGAATTACGACATTCATTTAAATTCCCATTTTACTATTCTCCGTGGTTTTTTTACACTGTGCAATCCGACACCCTGTTTATTCCGACACAAATTGTGTCTCCTATGCTTGTCGGATTATAGACAGAATTCACTGTATACGACATCATGTACATAGACTCAAAAGGAGGAAAGTTGACATTAGACAGATTCTTTACCGGGCTATGAAATTTTTATTAATAAGCACATGGCCACACTTCATGCATAACGTTGTCAACTTCTCGTAATTCTTTACACATGGAAGAGAATTATAATGACAGAAATAAAGAGAATAAAGATTGTGGATTATTATTGAGTCAAAATAATGTAATATAATATATATAATAAGGCATCGACAGCATATAGTTAATTTATACACTAAATATACGCTCCTCATTTAGATACCAATCAACAATTTTCTTATTTAATTTTTTGCATTACTTATATATTCAAACTCGTTTTCAGAGTCATTATTTCAAAAATCTCTTCTGTAGGTCCTTGTATCGGGAAAATTGCTGGTACAATAGCCATGGCAGACTACTGTAGTGCGTTCTGGGTATGTCTTAATGGAACAGCCGTGGCCTCCTGTTGTCCCTCGGGCAATAACGCTTATGTACAGGGCGTGGGGTGTACCGCAGATCCAACGTGTTTGTCAGAATGTCCACCAAAAGATAATAGAATTGTCGCCCCTGTTGGTGAGTTTTTGTCTGGGTCATTTTAACGCTTATATTTTAAATGCATCATTCAAACGTTTCAAATCCATAAACCATTACAATAATGATGTTGATACACAAGTTTTGTAAATGCATGATACGAAAATTGAAAGAGTCGCATATTTTAAGTACACAATATTTTAGAATGGAGCAGACAGCAATAGTGATTATGAGTATTTCCAATTCTATATAAACTAAAGAATTTATTGTACAATGACATTTAGTTTGTGAAATAGAGTTTTCATGTTGGAGAGTAATATTCATTAATTTGTCTAACATTCTCGTAGAACAATGAACATCAGTGAATCTTCACCTAAACATGCATCGTTTATGATAGTTATGACAGACGTATACTAAAACTGCACACATAATGACGTTTCCGCCATTACAGGAATCATTAATTCCCTATAGCACATGATTTAGTAGCATAAAACACTAGGCACAAAAAAAAATAGAGGAAGTCCAGTATGTTCACAAAAAAATCTACCGTTTAGTATGCATAACATTATAGATGGATCATACACGTGACTTAAATATTGATATTTGTTCTTCCATAGAAAAGAAATGAGATGTCGAAAAATGATGTCATACACCTCTGTATAAATATTATTTTAAATGAATCGAAGTTTTAGATCGCAATTTTTCTGCATTGTTTTGCATCCATATCATTATCAACTAAAACATGTTAATCACAAAAAAGAAATACTTGACAAGTACATTGTACCTAGAAACTCTCTTTTTTCAGTTTGCACCAACTTCCCTGACCTATCTGACGAAGAGAGGTTTATACAAATGGCACCATCGGGCAATATCTCTATGCGTTGTCCGCTAGGAACCGCTTTCGTCGCCGCTGACTGCGGCTGCACCAAAATGGTCACTATTCTGCCGTCCTCTAACCTCAATGGTAAGCAATGTAAAAAAGTTTAATTATAAAAAGATATGAGAAATGAAGCGCTTTCCATCAAATTTTAATTGATTAAATATTATTAACAATTTAAAACTTTTAATTTACGATATTTTTTCTGACGAAAGTCAACATAACATTGTAGAATAAATTGTTTTCGATATGTTTTAGAATGTAAACCGGAAGTAATTATGACCTTTGATGACCTGTCTAGACCATTTGCGGACTCCTCCACGAATGGTATCACCGTCACATATGAATACGTTGATGTGGATCCAGCTATGAGAATGGCTAAATTCAACGGATCCGGAATGATCAATCTCTATCGTTTCGCATTCGTTGATTTCCAGGAAAGCCTTGTTATCAGGCTTGAGTTCCAGGAACTACCAGGTGGCGCTGAACAGCAGGCTCTGGTTACCAACTGTATCTTCTCGTATCAGGAAGAGGCCACGATTTCGATGATTGTTGATAAGAAAATCAGCGCTGTTATCTTCGGTTTGGAGACTTCCGACGCTAAGGCAGAGTTCATCGTGCCTTACACGGTAAATCATTGTATTCATGGGCGGATCTAGTATCTGTCTTGGGTTAAGTGACAACGTATTGACGGCACATGTAATAGTTAATGTTTTAAATGCTTGTATCAAAGGCACTTCTGTCTCAATATACAGTGCTTGAGTATAGATGGACAGCAACATAATGTTTGATAGCATTGTCTTTCACCATTTGAATGAACTCAAAGGTTCTCTTGAAATCCAATGGTCAAAATTTGCTTTTATTATACAAAGTTAAAGGAAAAGAATGCGACATCTTCAGTTTTTAAATCTTTTTTTATACAGAGAAATGTAATGAATAAGGTGATCTTTATCTACAACGGAGAGAATGCTGTGGCCGTCATTAACAACGTGAGAGCGAACGTCAGACTCACAGGTACTGTCATTTTCTTCTAGCGATACATGAACATATCAGTTGTTACTATATTCGATATCATCATTTTGGTGAATATTAGTTTTGAAACCCAAAATCATACAATAAAGCATTCTACACCATTTCTTCGAATTATGTTCGTGTTAACATAAGAGCGGTTGTAATTCTAGTATTATTTCAGTTGTTTTGCTCTGGTATCGGTTATTTTCATCTTGGATTGATTTGAAATTACATACACAGTCATTTGATTTGATCTATCGGGATAACTGGTTTATTTTTAGGACACATAATTAGAAGACAAAGTGGTATAGTGATAGGGGCCGGAAGTCGATTGGGGCACTTTACCGGATATGTTGATAACGTAAGTTTGAATAAGAATACTTGGCAGCGTGGGTGAGAGAGAGAAAGAGAGAAAGACAATGTTTTAATATCAAGTAAAAATAAAACAGTTTCATAATAATAATAATGATCGGAGATAAATTTTATCAAAAAATATTTGTTCCTTCATTACATAATGTAATTGTTTTATCATTCACTCATTTACATTTTTCATTCTTTTTAGTTTGAACTTTTCATGTGTCTACCAACGGAAGTTGAACAGTATCTGAAAGACTAACATGTACAGATGTGAATATATACCACACAGAGTGTTAAACTATCAAATTTACAGTGGACGAGAAACTGTGTACATATAGACCTATACGGATATTTTTTTTTAATGAAATAGCTTTGTAAATATATGCAGACATAACCATTAGAAATGACCAAGGTTTCTTATTTTCTACACGATTGTTCTTATTTTGATATGAGAATATTTATTCTTATCTTGAATGCTTTATACCAAAACATGTAACTAGACGTAAAAGTTACATAGAAATGATAAGAGTTTTAGTAAATAAAAACTTCTAAACTTTTCTTCACTGACAATTTACGTCACATTGTACTTAATTTGTTTTATTGCTCTGTAATGCTTTTTTTTAATATTTAATCTTGGTCCTTCATTAGTAAACAAGGCAACCGAGCATCCAAAACTGAATCTCCTTCCTATTCCCTCATGCAACATCTATACAAGTTTAAGTTATTATTTAACATCCAAAATGTAATTAACTGTAAATCTGCAAACACGTTGATATAACAGCATTCACTGTGATAAATATCTTTAGTTAAAAAAAAAACTATAGACAGACTTTCAGTAACAAGGTTATATGTTCAAGGGAAACCCAGTCGTTTTGAGCCATTGGAGTTCTTAAGGACAGGGTAAAAAATTGGATCTTTTTACACTTTTTCATGACATTTACTTCAAAGGCTGTTTTTGGTATCACTAGAGTGACATAGTTAATAGTTAAGATACTTTTATCCACCGGAAATCATCATTGGCATAATACTGGAAATATAAAAGACTTTCATTTTTTTTTTACTACAGTACTAAGAATATAAAGTAAAATTTTTTGACTACAGCACACAATTAAAAACGGAAAAAAATACTACTAAATTTAAACAGTTTGTAAATGGAATTAATGTAGAAAATACCAAAATAATTTTGAGAAAATACAGTTTTGTCTGCTTCCTTTTTTCAGTATTATCTTGTCTTATGCTGTTCATTATCAGAAAGCTTCTGTGGGACATAATTGATAGAAAATTTAGGGAAAAGTTTTAAGTTGCATTTGATTTGGAACTTCATGTCCATTACTTATTCAGTAGATCCCAGTGCCTTATAAAAAAAAATCAAAGAAATCAAAAGCAGCAGATATATTTCAAACATACAAATATTGTTTTATTGTTGTTCAGCTCATGGCAAAAATACTTTATCCATGTATCAGACACAGTTTCTATTATTACAGGAATGGTGACCAGATTTCTAAAACGAAATAAAAAAAAATTATAAATTCACATGAATTGCGCACGTAAATATTAGAAATTATTAATTTTTTTTTAAATATATGTAGCTTCCTGAAAGACCAAGACAGAATCGTTTATTTGTATTACGTGTTTTTAATTCCTATTTGTGTGTGCTCTTTAAGGAGAGATTCTTGTCTGGTTTCTGACTAGATGAAATATTCAAAGTATATTTGCTTATATGTCTTATATATTTAGATGTAAGAGATTTAAAAGATCATATTTTTCTTACCTCTTCATAATTGTACAACTTTAAATAGAAATGGTGAACTGAGTTTGAAATCTAGCAGGAACTATATTTTTTTGCGGAACGGTGGCGTATGAAAAATTCTCAGAATTACTGTAGAACAATGAATTTAGTTAAAATTTTTAAACAATTTTTAAGAAAATATCAAATGTAAGTAAAATTAATAATAATGGACTGAAGTTTCAAAATATATCAAATAAATATCATTTTCCCACCAAACTATAATTTTGTTAACTTTTAAAAGCTTCCGATCTAAGTAGAGATTTGAGCCAAAAATCCGTAAAAAGTGTTTTTTTCTCTCTTAGTAAACGGTCAAAACTTTTTGTGTTTGTATCAATTTGTATCTTTATATGACTACTTTACCATATGTGAAAATAAGAAAAATTTGAATATACGAAGCACATTGAAAAAACTAATATATCCTAAAAATCTAGTAAAAATAGAGGAAATTCGGATTAGCCAAAATCTATTTTATTCAGATCATCTATGTCAATTTGGTAGTTTCATCTGATAGACCCTATATGGTTATATCATTTTATACAAAAAGAAAAAAAATATTTAATCTTTTGAAATAGAATTAGGTATCGCATGATTGGCAATGGTATTTTTATTCTTTAGGTCAAGGAAAAAGATAATGACCATGACCGGACCTTGTATTTTAAAATAAAACGGTCAAATTTAATCTAGTTGATACCATCACTTAATGATAATGTCTTCTTGAATCCTTGAAAATTTCATGAATTTTTAAATACAAGAAATATGAGAAGAATCCCTCCTTAAGCAAAACTAGGATTAAATTGTAAGATATATGTAATCAATTTGTTTAAGACTCCTTAATGTTTTTTTTATTTAAAAAAAAAAACATTTTTCACGTAGAACAAAATTACACTAAGATAAACTTACTAATGTTTGAAGCAATATTTACATTTTCATCTGAAAAAGAGTTTAATCCTCTTTCATTCCTGCAAATAAAATATGTCATATTTAAACTCGAAGGTGAACCCCTAATATTCTGTAGCTGTGAGAAAGCACCACAAATACATATAATTACAGATATTAATGAATATACTCACCAACAGATGAAGCTACATCCACATTTTCATCAGAAAAAGAGTTCACTCCTCTTTTCACTCCTTCAAATGAAAAATATCTTATTTAAAATAGTGATTTTCTAATACTTTGCAGCTGTTAGAGATCGTTATAAATACATGTACATATATTGAAAAACATTAATAGATATCTCACCAACAGATGAAGCTACATCCACATTTTCAGCTGAAAAAGAGTTCACTGCTCTTTTCACTCCTGCGAATGAAATATATTGTATTTTAACTCTTAAGTAATCGCATATATTCTGCAGTTGTCAGAAATTATTACAAATCCATATATTTCAAGACATTAATAAACAAACTCACCAACTGGTGAAGCTACATCCACATTTTCAGCTGAAAAAGAGTTCACTGCTCTTTTCACTCCTGCGAATGAAATATATCGTACTAAAACTGGTTAGTGATTGTCTAATACTACGCAGCTATGAGAAATCCTTACAAATGCATATAATGATAGCCTTTTATAAAATATACTTACCAACTGGTGAAGCTACATCCACATTTTCAGCTGAAAAAGAGTTCACTGCTCTTTTCACTCCTGCAAATATAATATATCGTATTTAAACTACCTAGTGATTGTCTGATACTCCACAGCTGCTGTGATGAGAAATCCTTACAAATACATTGATAAAGACATTAATTTATTTACTCACCAACTGGTGAAGCTATATCCACATTTTCAGCTGAAAAAGAGTTCACTGCTCTTTTCACTCCTGCAAATAAATATATCGTATTTATGTGGTAGTTGTACTTTTTATTTTTAGGATATTTATTTTAATTATTGTGTAGATTATTCTCATTTATTTTATTCATTTATTATTCACTCATTCATTCAGCGCTGCGCAATGCGATGTACTAACACTCTATGTTGTCTTTGTTCAGTGTCTGTTATAAACCTAAACACCCCTATTTTAAATAATGTAGCATTCCAGGTAGACTACCAGGTATTGTAGAATGGGTTATTCCATTATCGATTGTTACACTGATTTCTATTGGTCAGTGTGGTTGAATGGTTTTGGCGGGAATTAGATTCATGATTTCATTATTACACTTTGAGAACTGGTTTTGAAGGGTGTGAAGCTTTATACATATAGATATACATATTCCATAGTGCTGGAAACTACCCTTACTCCTGTAAGTAAATTTAATAAATAATTAAACTATTAAATAAGCACCTAAATAATTTCTTTATGAATGAGGAATCTAAATAATTTATTTTAATCTAAACTTGCTAAATAAAGTGTGAGTGTTTGAAAGATATGTATATATATAAATTGATAAAATATGTATGTGCAAGAGTTATAATTGCAAGTAACATTTTAATTTATTCATGTATCCTAAATAAGGGATTTGTGAATTTGTTGTAATTTTAAATAATTGTTAATTAGGTCATTCGTATATTCATATGGAGCTGAACCAAGATAGATATAGGAATCACCTGCTTCCATAAACTGGTATGTGAAAGATGTGATGATATTGGATTAATATAAATCTTGTAATTAATGTAAATATTACTTATGAAATATTTCTACAAAGTAGGAATAGAAATATAATAGTTATAAAAGCAGAGCTATAAGTTTATCAATTATCTGAGTGATGTGCGACCTAAGTATTTTAAATATTAAATGAGGTGTAAATGTAAATGGCCTACAATTAATTGTGTTAAAATGTGTTTATTTGTTTGTATTGTTTTGTGTATGTCTGTGTGTGCTTATTTGTTGTAATTATTGTAGGGTGTATAAATATATATACTGATCCTGAAATACATAATTATACCAAATACAACATTGGATCCACACCCCAAACCGTCTTGATTGTTATTTATCAAACCAAGAACCGGTTACATTTAAACTAGAACGTGATTGTCACACACTCTTCAACTGGGAAAAATGGTGATAAATACAATCATTTGATTAAATACATTAATTTATATACTTACCAGCAGATGAAGCTACATCCATATTTACAGCTGAAAAAGAGTTCACTGCTCTTTTCACTCCTGCGAATGAAATATATCGTACTTAAACTGGTTAGTGATTGTCTAATACTACGCAGCTATGAGAAATCCTTACAAATGCATATAATGATAGCCTTTTATAAAATATACTTACCAACTGGTGAAGCTACATCCACATTTTCAGCTGAAAAAGAGTTCACTGCTCTTTTCACTCCTGCAAATATAATATATCATATTTAAACTAGCTAGTGATTGTCTGATACTCCACAGCTGCTGTGATGAGAAATCCTTACAAATACATTGATTAAATACATTAATTTATATACTTACCAGCAGATGAAGCTACATCCATATTTACAGCTGAAAAAGAGTTCACTGCTCTTTTCACTCCTGCGAATGAAATATATCGTACTTAAACTGGTTAGTGATTGTCTAATACTACGCAGCTATGAGAAATCCTTACAAATGCATATAATGATAGCTTTTTATAAAATATACTTACCAACTGGTGAAGCTACATCCACATTTTCAGCTGAAAAAGAGTTCACTGCTCTTTTCACTCCTGCAAATATAATATATCATATTTAAACTAGCTAGTGATTGTCTGATACTCCACAGCTGCTGTGATGAGAAATCCTTACAAATACATTGATAAAAAGACATCAATTAATTTACTCACCAACTGGTGAAGCTACATCCACATTTTCAGCTGAAAAAGAGTTCACTGCTCTTTTCACTCCTGCAAATAAATATATCGTATTTAAACTAGAACGTGATTGTCACACACTCTGCAACTGGGAAAAATCGTGATAAATATAATCATTTGATTAAATACATTAATTTATATACTTACCAGCAGATGAAGGTACATCCATATTTACAGCTGAAAAAGAGTTCACTGCTCTTTTCACTCCTGCGAATGAAACACATTGTATTTAAACTCTTAAGTAATCGCTAAGATTCCGCAGTTGTCAGAAATTGTTACAAATACGTATATTTCAAGACAGTAATAAACAAACTCACCAACTGGTGAAGCTACATCCACATTTTCAGCTGAAAAAGAGTTCACTGCTCTTTTCACTCCTGCGAATGAAATATATTGTATTTAAACTCTTAAGTGATCGCATATATTCTGCAATTGTCAGAAATTATTACAAATCCATATATTTCAAGACATTAATAAACAAACTCACCAACTGGTGAAACTACATCCACATTTTCAGCTGAAAAAGAGTTCACTGCTCTTTTCACTCCTGCGAATGAAATATATCGTACTTAAACTGGTTAGTGATTGTCTAATACTACGCAGCTATGAGAAATCCTTACAAATGCATATAATGATAGCCTTTTATAAAATATACTTACCAACTGGTGAAGCTACATCCACATTTTCAGCTGAAAAAGAGTTCACTGCTCTTTTCACTCCTGCAGATAAATATATCGTATTTAAACTAGAACGTGATTGTCACACACTCTGCAACTGGGAAAAATCGTGATGAATATAATCATTTGATTAAATACATTAATTTACATACTTACCAGCAGATGAAGGTACATCCATATTTACAGCTGAAAAAGAGTTCACTGCTCTTTTCACTCCTGCGAATGAAATATATCGTACTTAAACTGGTTAGTGATTGTCTAATACTACGCAGCTATGAGAAATCCTTACAAATGCATATAATGATAGCCTTTTATAAAATATACTTACCAACTGGTGAAGCTACATCCACATTTTCAGCTGAAAAAGAGTTCACTGCTCTTTTCACTCCTGCAAATATAATATATCGTATTTAAACTAGCTAGTGATTGTCTGGTACTCCACAGCTGCTGTGATGAGAAATCCTTACAAATACATTGATAAAAAGACATCAATTTATTTACTCACCAACTGGTGAAGCTATATCCACATTTTCAGCTGAAAAAGAGTTCACTGCTCTTTTCACTCCTGCAAATAAATATATCGTATTTAAACTAGAACGTGATTGTCACACACTCTGCAACTGGGAAAAATCGTGATGAATATAATCATTTGATTAAATACATTAATTTACATACTTACCAGCAGATGAAGGTACATCCATATTTACAGCTGAAAAAGAGTTCACTGCTCTTTTCACTCCTGCGAATGAAATATATCGTACTTAAACTGGTTAGTGATTGTCCAATACTACGCAGCTATGAGAAATCCTTACAAATGCATATAATGATAGCCTTTTATAAAATATACTTACCAACTGGTGAAGCTACATCCACATTTTCAGCTGAAAAAGAGTTCACTGCTCTTTTCACTCCTGCAAATATAATATATCGTATTTAAACTAGCTAGTGATTGTCTGGTACTCCACAGCTGCTGTGATGAGAAATCCTTACAAATACATTGATAAAAAGACATCAATTTATTTACTCACCAACTGGTGAAGCTATATCCACATTTTCAGCTGAAAAAGAGTTCACTGCTCTTTTCACTCCTGCAAATAAATATATCGTATTTAAACTAGAACGTGATTGTCACACACTCTGCAACTGGGAAAAATCGTGATGAATATAATCATTTGATTAAATACATTAATTTACATACTTACCAGCAGATGAAGGTACATCCATATTTACAGCTGAAAAAGAGTTCACTGCTCTTTTCACTCCTGCGAATGAAATATATCGTACTTAAACTGGTTAGTGATTGTCTAATACTACGCAGCTATGAGAAATCCTTACAAATGCATATAATGATAGCCTTTTCTAAAATATACTTACCAACTGGTGAAGCTACATCCACATTTTCAGCTGAAAAAGAGTTCACTGCTCTTTTCACTCCTGCAAATATAATATATCATATTTAAACTAGCTAGTGATTGTCTGATACTCCACAGCTGCTGTGATGAGAAATCCTTACAAATACATTGATAGAAAGACATCAATTTATTTACTCACCAACTGGTGAAGCTATATCCACATTTTCAGCTGAAAAAGAGTTCACTGCTCTTTTCACTCCTGCAAATAATTATATCGTATTTAAACTAGAACGTGATTGTCACACACTCTGCAACTGGGAAAAATCGTGATAAATATAATCATTTGATTAAATACATTAATTTATATACTTACCAGCAGATGAAGGTACATCCATATTTACAGCTGAAAAAGAGTTCACTGCTTTTTTCACCCCTGCGAATGAAATATATCGTACTTAAACTGGTTAGTGATTGTCTAATACTACGCAGCTATGAGAAATCCTTACAAATGCATATAATGATAGCCTTTTATAAAATATACTTACCAACTGGTGAAGCTACATCCACATTTTCAGCTGAAAAAGAGTTCACTGCTCTTTTCACTCCTGCAAATATAATATATCGTATTTAAACTAGCTAGTGATTGTCTGGTACTCCACAGCTGCTGTGATGAGAAATCCTTACAAATACATTGATAAAAAGACATCAATTTATTTACTCACCAACTGGTGAAGCTATATCCACATTTTCAGCTGAAAAAGAGTTCACTGCTCTTTTCACTCCTGCAAATAAATATATCGTATTTAAACTAGCTAGTGATTGTCACACACTCTGCAACTGGGAAAAATCGTGATGAATATAATCATTTGATTAAATACATTAATTTACATACTTACCAGCAGATGAAGGTACATCCATATTTACAGCTGAAAAAGAGTTCACTGCTCTTTTCACTCCTGCGAATGAAACACATTGTATTTAAACTCTTAAGTAATCGCTAAGATTCCGCAGTTGTCAGAAATTGTTACAAATACGTATATTTCAAGACAGTAATAAACAAACTCACCAACTGGTGAAGCTACATCCACATTTTCAGCTGAAAAAGAGTTCACTGCTCTTTTCACTCCTGCGAATGAAATATATTGTATTTAAACTCTCAAGTGATCGCATATATTCTGCAGTTGTCAGAAATTATTACAAATCCATATATTTCAAGACATTAATAAACAAACTCACCAACTGGTGAAACTACATCCACATTTTCAGCTGAAAAAGAGTTCACTGCTCTTTTCACTCCTGCGAATGAAATATATCGTACTTAAACTGGTTAGTGATTGTCTAATACTACGCAGCTATGAGAAATCCTTACAAATGCATATAATGATAGCCTTTTATAAAATATACTTACCAACTGGTGAAGCTACATCCACATTTTCAGCTGAAAAAGAGTTCACTGCTCTTTTCACTCCTGCAAATAAATATATCGTATTTAAACTAGAACGTGATTGTCACACACTCTGCAACTGGGAAAAATCGTGATGAATATAATCATTTGATTAAATACATTAATTTACATACTTACCAGCAGATGAAGGTACATCCATATTTACAGCTGAAAAAGAGTTCACTGCTCTTTTCACTCCTGCGAATGAAATATATCGTACTTAAACTGGTTAGTGATTGTCTAATACTACGCAGCTATGAGAAATCCTTACAAATGCATATAATGATAGCCTTTTATAAAATATACTTACCAACTGGTGAAGCTACATCCACAATTTCAGCTGAAAAAGAGTTCACTGCTCTTTTCACTCCTGCAAATATAATATATCGTATTTAAACTAGTTAGTTATTGTCTGATACTCTGCAGCTGTGATGAAAAATCGTTACAAATACCTTGATAAAAAGACATCATTTTATATACTCACCAACTGGTGAAGCTACATCCACATTTTCAGCTGAAAATGAATCAATTCCTCTGAGAAGTGCACCTGAATAAAAGAAATGAATGTAATGGGAAGGAAAATTCAAATTTACCCAATCAGTAAACAATTTCTTTCTACAATCCTTATATCATTAGAAATCATATATAAGAACTAAACTAACATAATTAGATAACTTAATATAACTTAACTAACTTAATTAGATAATTTAATATAACTTAACTAACTTATTTTGTAACATAATTAGATAACTTAATATAATGTATTCTTAAGTTCATATATAAGAACTTAATTTAGAATGCAATAATGCACAACGTTAAAGAAGACATTGACAGAATAAAGAAAATGTCCCCAAACATATTTCATATAACTTAAAAACTCTGAAAAATCAGCATACTTTGGGAAAAAGGAATAAGGAAAAGAATAACACTAAAAGTTGAAATCATAATGACAGTTAGTTAGACAATGTTTAGAGTTTCTCGTTACACTATATATATATATACCATTTACTTGTTTTGAGAACAAACAGTTGTAACAGTGTCATTTCACGATAATCCTTGACTTTGTCTAATAAGGAAAAGCGTATCTAACTTTCTGACCTTTTAGAAACTGACCAAAACCAGGAAGTTCAGACGAAGTGATAAGAGATGATCTGTACTTTTAGGGGTTTGTAAAATGTAATCAGTCAATTTTAAGGAAAGATGCAACATTTTACTGTGATAGAATATTGATATATAATAATAATGTTCTGCTCACGTTCATGTAATGTAAATGTATTAATATACATATATACATTACATGAACGTAAGCAGAATGTAAGCAGAAAGGTTTAGTTACAAGTGACGTAACAACGTTTACGCCTAAATTTGACGTACACGTAATATTTGATGTCAATGTAAATATTATGATTTAACATGAACATGTACGAGGAAATTTCATGAACTTCATTTAGTATACATCATTATATTATTTTCATTTTCTGTAATTGGCCCAGGAAATTAAATGATTTTCTTTGTGTTTTGTTTATTTAAGGAATATAGCCTTTATCTTTCTTCGATTTTATCAATAATGTTATACAAGATTTTGAAAATTGTGCGGAAATAGTTAACACCATGCGCATCAAGTGTCTCTTTCAGTGTGTAAAACGCCATCGTCTGAAAACTAATATGGAGAGTAAAAGTCAAGCATGTCTGGACATTTTTAAGGAATTAAGTTCTTGATAACCTATCCACATTTAGCTTAAAGTGAACGAGATTTTAATTTTAAAATTCTTTTAGATTTCAATAATTTTGCAAAAAGGAGAGAGCGTTTTTGAAGATCTGTCCTTGACCTTCAAGTTTGGTGAGAACAATAGAGTACTCGGTAACCAATAGTTGTTATTCAATGTTTACAATTGACTTCTGTGTACTCAGGGAGTCATGCCAGGTGTGTAATGTCTACAATCTAGAATCACAACTGAGGTATTATAAGTGCTCTCAATGAGATAAGCGTCATTTAAGAAAATTTCATTTGTTTTAGAATGGCCAGAGTAAGTAGTACCTGTACTTTCTTAGTCATTTTAGCGTTTCTGTATGTAGTACATGGAAACCAGCAGATGAAGTTTTCGTTGCCAATTGTAGAATCGAATAAGGTCAGTGAAATAAAGAAATTCCTTTTTTTCAAGATACAGAGAGACGGACAGACAGTTGATAGAGTCTTTTAATTTATTTGTACAACTACTTCCAACTTTTTATGCATATGCAAATAACTTATTTAATACCAATCTCCTATGCAGAGTTGTCGTTCGTTCCTCTCTCAGACACATTTGCAATGGGCTCGCGTCAAGATTTTTGACATAACGTAAAAAACATAATATTTCAAGGATTATTTCAAATTAAACTAATAGTTTTACATCTATTTAGTAAATATCTATCTTTAAGGACTATCATTAGCTCAGACATTCAATTATAATGAATCAAAACAAACGCACTATTTCTCGTGCTTATTATCGTGATATACGCGAGCCAACGGCAGAGGTGAATGTATGAGCCGATGGTAGAGAGTTATTGAATACATGAAAATAATCATCATGAAATTACCAATTCCAGAAGTTCCTGTATCAAATGTAACTTTTTTTATATATAGATTCTTGCATGCAAAAAAAGTTTTCTTTCACCTTTTTTCAGGCTGATCAGTACTTCTGTTTTGCAAGAAAGTTGGACGAATTTGACAATATCAATGTCGGTTAGTCAGAGTAAAGCTGGCCTGTTTATGCCTTTCAAAAAAATTATAAGAGGAAAAACTATTAATATCATATACTTATATCAAGTATTATGTTTGATAAAACCAATTTTCATACTTCAATGACAAATTTTTGTATTCTTTTAAGACGGTATAGAGTTAAATGTCGACAAAGAAAATGCGCATCACGTATCTCTTTCCGTGTGCAAAGCACCATCTTCTGATCAACAAGTATGGTGAGTACAGGTCAAGCATGTACTTTTATTTGTCAGGAAGTTCATTAGCTTTTATGATTCAGAATTCTTTACGATTTACATAAAATGTAGCATCGCTTTCACTTTTTACTGAAAAGATAAACAAATTCTTTTTGAAATTCTATCAATGTATACTAAGAGAACATGTTATAGGGACTGCTCGTCAGCTCAGGGAAAAGTTTGTCAGGGAAATGCAGTCAATCTTGGTGGATGGGAAGCTCGCAATAAACACAGTGGGAAATACAACCTCCCTACAGGTAAAACACAGCTAAGACTAACATTAAAATCATCTAATTTTGACTTGTTTTCTCCTTCCTTCAAAAATGTGATTGTTTTTAGCTTTTTGAAAATTTGCTTGAAGAAATTTCTTTTGTGGGCTTGTCTGCTAAATCCGTGTTTTTTTTTAAATTCATTAAAACATTTTTATCCAAATATATGATACATTATAGGTTTTTGATTATTTTTTGAAAAATTGTTTTTGATGAATTTCTGCATGTATTTCTGTTCTTTGTTGAATTGTTTAAAAGCGAATTCATTTTATTTTTATTATCTACATGTATTTATTCTAATATATATAATTTTTGGGGTAATAAATTTTAAGAGCGAGGAAATATATGATTATTTGTAGGTCTGTCTGTTCGTGTTGGAAAGGAAACTTCTATGCAGTACATAGTTACACAGGTTCACTTCAAACATGCCCTAAAAAGTAAGTGTTGCCTCTTTTTATTAAGTTTTCATAGGTTGTTTTTAAATAAACAGATAAAAATGTTGTTGATTCGATATTTTTATCATAACATTACAAAATTATCACATTTCTTATGCCTTAATCATAAATCTTAAAAGTATTTGAAAAGCCATAAGTTTATGATTTTGAAAGAAAAAATATATATATCTATATGTTCAATGTTCAATGAAAATTAATATTAATTAATGAAGCAACATATTTCCTGTTAATTATAAGCAGCTTGTAATTCTAGAACAGTAGAGTAAAAGAAAGAAGTACCAAGTCATATGCAGTACCATTTGAATCAATGTTTGGTCTCTTTTATTAAGCGATTTCATCATAAATCGTTTTATATATATTATATTTTGACTGTATAGCTTCATTTTTTTTTCAGACACGACCAGTGCTATAGCAAATGTCACTCTTCGACTAAATAATGATAGGTATTTTCTTCTCTTTTTTTTTAACTTAATATAATAATGATAAAACGCCTTGTCTACTACCAACATACGTACTGTCTTACTGACATTTTTCTATTTATCAATAAAAAAAAAAAACATAATTTATTAATAAAAAAAATTGCATAAAAACGACTTTTATGTAGTTAACATGCACTTTGTTGACACGATATTTTTTTATTATTTAAAAGGGAAAACAAAAGAGAATATTTATTTTTTTCCTGTTATCAAAACTTCTAAATCTAAACATTAACAGACTAAAACTCAGTCTTATAATACCAGTACTTGAAAAAGGATTTTAAATAAAACATTTTTTAATTCAGATTCAAATTCTTTCTTTTATGAAATTTTATATTTCTGAATTATTAATACTTCCACTTATGGTTGCAAACAATCTAAAATGTCTACATCATAATCACCATCGTTTCACTTTCAGGTCAACACTTAATTATCAGACCTACTCCTTTATCAATGAGGGTTATATTCCAAAGCTAAAAAACAAGGGTAGGCTAAATACCAGTGTATACATGTATATATTATAAATGTCTAGGTACCAGTCCCGAGGAAGTATAATATTTGTTGATTCATTTCTCCGGTGCAAAACTACATATACATGTATATGATATATATAAAAAAAAAACTATATAGGATTTCTTATATTGGTTCTTTTTATAACTTTTTTTATAACTTTTGTTTCCTTTTGTTTCACAACAGACCTTTCCAGTTTGATTTAACGCCATTAATACGAAGTACAAGTGATACTTTAAATCCTTTCTTGGAATTTTATACTATGCTTGTATGACATGCTAGAAATAAAATCACTATAAATTATAAGTACCCGAAAAAAATAATGTATATTACTAAAGTATATGTATATTCATCAAATACAATATGTCACATGTTAATCAATTTCATATCAACGTAGCTTAGATTCATATGCGTTCAATATGTTTTAATAAAAGCAAAATATAGTGAAGATATTTTGATTGTGTTTCAGGATTCTTTGCCGAATCAGCCTGTCAATGGACGAAACCTTCCGTTCAGCTTTATACTTTTACAACACATACACACGGACATGGTAATTCAGTGACTTAATTATATAGATATCACAGAATCAAAATAAATTTAATTTATGAATTTATGAAGTATAATAAAACAAAGAAAGTGATAGGCAACGTGCTTTAAATAAAATTATTCTGTATTTATTGGATGTATCAAAATTAAAAATTTCAAATAGTAAATTAAATGATACTTTTATAAAAAGTAAACTTTCATTGATAAAAATTTGAAGATAAATATGATTTGAAAGGTTGACATAATAGAAGTGTTGTGTTACTATCTAGGGGTCTTAGTTGAGGGGTTTCTCGTAAGAAATGGTACCTGGACAGTTTTGGGAAGTCAGCTCAAAAACGGGGAGGAAAAGGTTTCAGCTTCTTACTAGTATATATATAAAAAAAAAATACAACAGAACTTTAAAAATATATATATATCTATATTTCATACTATTGTCTTATGATTGTTAGCTAATCATTTTGAAAAGAAATAAAATATTTTGATCCTTTTTATTCGTTTGTTTTGTTTTGTTTTATTTTTTTTGTTTGTTTTTGAAAGAAATTTGATTACATTTTAGCATTTCCAAAACGTCCCAGGTGGCCCACTTCCAATATATCCTGGTGATATTCTAGTAAGTATTGGAATGTTTTGAGAGGACAGAAGTTATCTATCATGTAATCTTTGCTTTGTTAAATAATAGTGACAATGTTACCAGACTTACTGCATCGCGTTTAACATTTTTTAATGCAATCGCATTTTCTCGATCTTTTCCGACGAGCAGAAAAACAGTCTGGAATACATTTTAAATCTGCAGTTATTTTAATGATTTTTTTTTTTTTTTTTTTTTTTTTTTTTTTTTACAAAAATCGTAAACATTATTCTTCCCTAGGCAGCCCGATGTCTGTATATTAACAATAAGCCCCATCCTATCAAGTTTGGGTAAGTCAGATTTGTATTGCTGATCACAACCATAAAGAAATAGAGAATCTAAACTATGACTTAGTTAAAAGTAATTGCTATCAAGTCTTATAGTTAATATCAAATTTTTATTTCAAAATGAACATTTCTCAAACTTACTTTTTTGTTTTAGAATGGCCGATGAAGATGAAATGTGTAATTTTTCTTTGACGTTTGGCTATGAAGACAAATATAAGGATGATTTCATTCGTCCCATCGGCTGTTTATCGGACTCTCCCAACTTCCGGTTCTGCAACAGTTCTCGCATGAATAGTTTCTGTTAAAAGAAATAATTTATGTATATGTATATTGAGATTGTTATTTTTATTTTATTTTTTTATTTATTTATTTTTTGGCTGTATCTTGATTCATTTTAGGGAAGAAAATAATACAGTATTTTTTAACGATTAATATATGATCATTATTTGCAGTACCCACTCTGTGTTAGTTATATATCAGTGATATATATATATATATATATATATATATATATATATATATATATATATATATGATCATTATTTGCAGTACCCACTCTGTGTTAGTTATATATCAGTTATATATATATATATATATATATATATATATATATATATATATATATATATATATATATATATATATATAAGCACAAAGAAATTCACTTTTAATAAGGATACCCACTTCCGCCCCAGCCCGAGGTTGAACTCTCGACCTTCGGAATCTGTCTCCTAGCAGTACAGGAACAGCGCGCTAGACCGCTCGGCTATCTATGCAAGTCAAAAAACTTGCTTTCGATGCCGATGGAATTTTCGCGGCGCTGCCCTACACTACACGGTCATTGAGAATGAAAGTGAGATACAGTTATTTGGACATTAGTTTTATTAGAGGATCGTTACCAATACACGTTGTAACGAAATTAATTTTTATTTATAAAGCACATTATACAACAACTCTTAAACTAACATAACTGCCCTAAGTGAAGAAATATTAATATAGAAAGCACAAAGAAATTCACTTTTAATAAGGATACCCACTTCAATGTCCAGATAACTGTATCTCACTTTCATTCTCAATGACCGTGTAGTGTAGGGCAGCGCCGCGAGAATTCCATCGGCATCGAAAGCAAGTTTTTTGACTTGCTTAGTTGGCCGAGCGGTCTAGCGCGCTGTTCCTGTACTGCTCGGAGACAGATTCCGAAGGTCGAGAGTTCAACCCCGGGCTGGGGCGGAAGTGGGTATCCTTATTAAAAGTGAATTTCTTTGTGCTCTCTATATTAATATTTCTTCACTTAGGGCAGTTATGTTAGTTTAAGAGTTGTTGTATAATGTGCTTATATATATATATATATATATATATATATATATATATATATATATATATGCAATGTTTTTAAAGAAAAAAAACGTGGAGTGTCTTCTCTTGCTGTAATTGATATAAAATAATATTTCACAGTTTAATTTGCTTGTATATTTGTTTGCTTGCTTTAAATCCCTTCGAGAATATTTCTGGGATGTTGGGGCGCCACCAGTTGCCGATGGAAGGCTGTACTCGGCTTTTAAGACCATTGAACAGTAATGTAATCTTTTTGACATGGGTTGATTGTGTAAATTTTTCTCATGCTTGCAACTATTATCCCTGCATTAACAAAGAGAGATAATTATTCATATTTATATCCGTATAAATCATTTCTATAAAGTGGATGCAGGTAAAATATTTTATTATTATCAATTCGCACGTTAAATTGATGGAAGGGCCATGAAACGATTGACCTTTGACACTTCTTAAGAGATATATTATAAAAACGGATCTATAACCGCATTGTAGTATAGAAGTTGATTGTGTTAAGCAATTGATTTTATTAGAATTTATGGAGAAAATACTTAGTGAATATAAATATAATTTAATAAATCGTGACTCTTCTGTATATGCATATGCACTAACATTGATAGGAAAGAAGAGAAAAATATTAACACCGAGCTATAGAGACCAAAGAAACGTACAAAATATGGCGTCGTCACTTCTCTACAAAATAGAATTAATAGTTGCCCCAGCGTTGAAGTGTATTTATTCCATTCAGGATATAGGCGATATTTCTGAGAGAGATTCTCTTGCTATACAATAAAAAATTTATTCCCTTATCGGGTATAACTCTGTATTTGATCTACAGGAAATAATTAACGTCGTGGTCATTGAATCCTGATTTTATTGTTTTGAACCGAGATAAACAGAGTCGATAACCACGGTATGTGGCCCCCAGGGACCCACTTATATTACCCGTCAACAAGGTACATGTACCTTATACTTTTAGGAAAATATGAAATTGAAAATCGTCCAGTATTTTCTTGAAGAATTTCGAAACAAAATAAACCTGTTTTAGGATACTGATTTTAAAAGGACATTGATTAATTATACCTACTGGTTTTCTTAGCCTTCAATTTATGCAATTTACAATGTATTATTTAAGGAACATATATCAAACATATATCATTTGTAAAATACTAAAAAAATTTTAAATCCTATTTAAAGTTTCCAATTAAAAAAGCTTCTTTCTTCCAAAAAATTTCAAGTAAGTGTTTTTGTCCCTTTACTATTTTAAAAATTTATTTGGAAGAAACCGATTCTTTAATCAACAATCTGACCTTAGTCCCGCGTCAAGGACATGATAAATTTCAATAATTATGAACGCTCAGCTAGATTTAAGGGACATAAAAGGACAATCTCCACGCATTAATTTCGCTCTGACATTCTGAAGGATTTCCGATTTTTTCCAATGGACATAATTCAAATATGTAAGTTTTTGGGGTTTTTTAAAATTAATTCCATTTTTAAAAAAAGTAATTGCCAGATTTATTGAAAAATGACTTTTATGCATGAATGTAATTTCTTTTCTAAGAAAATTAAAGTCAATGCATTACTGAAATTTTTTACCCAGAAGAACTAAAGAAGTATGTGCTTAAAATCTCTACCGCTCATTGATTTGAAGAAAGGCTTAAAATTTCTCACTCGTATTGTATGAAATTGGACTATCACTTCCGGATAAAGAAAAATATACCATGCTGAAATGTCGTGAAAGCGAGTTTCATTTACTAATCCTCAAAAAAGGAATGACGCATACATTTTGTTTTAGATGCAAAGTCGATTAATGATAAAAACTTTAATTAAACTTGGATAATTAGCTTTTTATGAAATTACAAGGATATACCAGAGAAAGAGTTGTGTTCAACATAGAAATAAAAATCTGTTCAGTGTTTCATTATTCTCGGATGTTCGCATGAGATGTATAATCATCCAGAACTACAGGTTAACAAATATTGAATGTCCAATCCGGCGTTGCGTCGGTAAACAAAAAAGGGTTTCAGTAATCGATTACCAGTCTGTCATAAAAAGTAAATAATATTGTAACATTGGTTCCCCTTTCTTTTGTTAAATAAACATAGATGATAGATAAATTTATATCATAGAGAACTAAAGCTACTTTTAATTAATAACATGAATAATACAAAATAATAATAAATAACTGAAAAAAGCAATCAAGTATATATTCTAGCTGAAATAACTGAAAATGTAGAGGGGGGGTGGGGGGGTGATATATTTACTCTCTATAAAACGTTCACAGAGGCGTAAGCAGAGAAAGTTACACCAAGACCTTGAGTACAAATTAACTCCTCCCTTATTCATGTACTTTACTTCTAAAACATAAGTTAATTTTGGGGGGAAAGTTGTGCTACTCTCGCTTAAGAATTGGAAATAAGTCTTGCCCATATCTAGAAAACTTATTTTTTACGCCTTGAAAAGTAAACACGTTTACTTACATTAAATACTAGTATGTTAACTAGAACAACAAAAATGCAGAACCTGCCTAGCACACAGTGTGTTGAAGTCATGTGCTAGGAAATGGTTAGTTTTGATGGAAGCCCAGGATGAACTCAGGAATGACAGCGTCCATTCACAAAAATAAGTATATACCAAAGGAATGCAATCCCGCATAAAATTAAACGGAGTGGGAAAATAGCATTAAAAAGGAATAATCTTTGATTTTTTTATGCATAAGGAAATAATACTCATCTGCAGCCCCTTTAATCTAATTCAGTATTGCGTCTTTATAAGGATTTTTTTTAACCTGTGATTTTTACTATGCAATTGTATCCCACAACCTTCTTATGTAAGTTTTTTAAAATTACTTTTTCGGTTTTTTTTTCTTTTTCCTAATTTATGCATATAACCAATTACAGGATTACTTTGCGTCCGGTTGTCGGACTGCTTGTCTGTGTATGTCATCTGGGAGTAGCACACGGGAGTGGTAAGTTGTGCATTTGAAAAAAAAAACCTCTCTGATTCGTTTACCCTTGTTTTGTTTTCAAAATTTAAATAATTTATTGTTTCAATAATTTTTTGGAAGTGTGAATTCTCTTTTCAGACTTCCAAGGTAAAGGATGTCCCCACCCAATGGACATTGTTTTTGTTCTAGATGGTTCCGAGAGTGTTACGCATAAAAACTTTAACAAAGTCAAAAAATTCACAACAGATATTGTCGATCAGTTCAATCTAGGCATTAAACACGTCCGCATTGGTGTCATAGAATTTTCTACATTTATTGGTAAAGTAATTGAACTAGGACAAGTCAATAATCCAACAGTACTGAATTTTCTAATAAACAACATCTCAATGTCAAATGACGGAACAGGAACGCATAAAGCATTAAAGCGCATGCGGGATATGTTTCGGGAAAGAGGCAGACCGGAAGTACCTCATATTGGAGTTGTGATTACCGATGGTCTTTCTGTGAGTCCGTATTTAACAAAAGAGGAAGCGAGACGAGTCCATCAGGACGGAGTTGAAGTGTTTGCTGTTGGAATTGAGGGCGATAAGACATTTCAGACAGAATTGGAGTACATTGCCAGCAGCAAAGATCAAGCTCTGCGCGTTTCGGATTTTGATGCCCTTCCTCTCAATCTGTCGTCATCCTTATGTTCCAGTAAGAATACTGTATAGATTGCCTTTCTACATCTTATACTTATTAAAATAGGTTCCTCATTTTTTCAGCAGAGTTCATTTCTCTCTAAATTGTAGTTGCAGCTCCATCATCAACGCCAAGATCAACAGTCCTAACGTCTAGCATAAGTAAGAAAGATATCATTATTTCTAAATATAACACCTGTCCTGCCCTATATACATTGCTGTTTTTATTTTGCTCTCTTAAAGATCTTAACAGCTCACTCTGTGAATGTGTTAGAAACATTGGATTTGAACAAATACGAAGGAATCAGGTTATCCATAATTAAAAAAAGTCGTCTGGCAGGAATATCACCATATGTATGCACAAGCATAAAAATCATGGCAAAAATCCAATAATTGCAAGATTTTGAACATTTTTTTTTTTACTTGAACACTAAACGTGAAAAAAAGTTATAGATAGCACATAGATTTTTTTGTTTATTTTTGTTACAGTACCTGATAGAATAGGAGAATCAAGCGGCAAGAACGATGGTGAGCTATTTTTAACTGAGTAGATGAGTAACATATTGGATTTGGAGATTATATGCATGTCTTAAAGATGACTGACATATTTTAGTTGGAAAATGATTTATTTTTTAAATTTGGAACCTTTTTTGTTAAGACTTGAGTTACTTTAAGTGGAAAGTTAATTATATACATTGAATTTAGTTGAATGAAATGTTGTTGTTGTTTTTTTTTATTTACTGTGTGAATTTATAGTTGATAAAGAGTTTTTAGTAGTTGAGTTCTTGAGTGACGTAGATCTTTGAGTGACTGGCTTGTGGTTAATCTCATAAGGCATCTGGACTTGATTTGATGATTTGAACATTTTGTTTTAGAGACATTATTTTGAGTTGGAGAGAGTGGTTTAATTTGATGGTTGCCTCTTCGTTGAATTCACGAGTTTCGAAGTTTAAGTAGGTCGGCGACCTATGTTGAATTCCTTTAAAATGACTTCTACTTGAGTAACTTATTTTGGGATTATTTAGCACACACAATATGGCTGGCAAGTGAAACTGTTAAAGTTGGTTAATGGCATATACGTTACGTCATAAATGATATGGCAGTATATTTCAGTCACTGAGAATTGTGACTTTGAGTTGAGTAAGATTCTGCTACATTTTTGAGAAGAAGATTGTTTTGCATGCAAAGTATAATCTTTTCCAACAAAAAATTTGACCATGATTTAATGGTGAAAGTCAACTGGAATGTTTCAAATGTCACCAAGGATTAAAACTATACACACTAAATTCAGTCTGGAACAAACTGGCAAATGATTTGAATCAGTTTTCATTGTTTAAGGTTATGTGGACGAATCCAGATATTTCCAAGTACACACAACAGACTGCACAAAATACATTGAAGTGGTCCCTGATGTGAGCGGGGCGACAGTTACTTATGTTAAGTCGTGCTCCTTTGGGCTTTTCTGGGACGAAAGAAGTCTGACATGCATTAATTCTACTCACGCCGAATGTTACAATGGTATGTGCATATTTATCTTATTAACCGTATTAAAATTTAATCTTCACATTGAATTAGGAGTCAATGATTTATTTTTGTTTTTATAGATCCTTGTAGACAATTTTCTGCTGGATACACATACAAAATGGAAGGACTCTGTTCTGGATTCTGGACATGTTTGAATAAAACGTCACTTCCGGTCTGTTGTACTCTGGGTCATAGATTCCAGCTCGCTCAAGGCTGTGTGCCAGACCCAACGTGTAGTGAACCATGTCCACCTAAACAAAACACTCTCACAAACCGAGGTAACATTTCAAACTTTGTAAAGTTCTATTTTATCTTTCATGCATAGATTTATTTATTCGCACATGATGTATATTCTCTGTCAAATATTATATGACTTTCATCTTTTATTATGTGAATAGATGTTTTCAGGTTTTAACCATTTAATTGAGATTTTGTGTTTGTACTTCAAATTAATTGATTAACATGCACGAATCTTTACATATACTTAGATTGTAGAAAATGGGTTGATCCACATGATAGCAAATCATACTTGGAGGAAGTTCACAGCCGAAACATTTCAAGACCATGCGCGCCAGGTTCTTTTTTCGACCAATCAGCTTGCGGCTGCACCAAACACATCACTAAAAGTCCAGTGTTAGTTACATCTGTGAGACCGAGCATCAGTACCAATTGTACGTTTTCTTATGGCATGCATGAATTTTCTTTAATTTATGTGATGATTTAAATAATTTTAGCTGATTTAAAAAAAATGACTACAATTCAAGATTACAAATGGGAAGATGCCGTATAGATATTTGCTATGCATTATTATTATTCATTTACTCCGCCCTCCCCCCTCCCCTCCTAATTACTTTTTCCAGAACGTGTTTATTGTTTCTTTTCTTTGTTAATATCAGATTGTCGAGACGAACTTTATCTGAAGTTTAACAAAGGACAAGATGGAAATCTTGACGGCTTCAAAGACTTCTCGGGTCGTAATATCCACGTGGCACAACGAAATGTCGTCATATCCGGCAAAGGCGATGGCATGATGGAACTGGACGGAATTTCCAGCTGTCTGAACATATGGCGGTTCTCCAACATTGAGTATAGGTTCGATATAATTGTTCATAATTCATCAAGATTAAATTGATTAGCGAATGTGGTTCTCTTATTTTCTTCTTTTTTCTTAAGTGTAAGGGTATGAAGTAGAACTGTTTTACATTGTGAAAAAAAATGTGTCCAGGCTATAACTTTGGAACCCTTATATGAAAATAACTTTAAGTGTGCAGTTGCCTCTGACCTAAAAGTTTATTATCCCTTCCAAAGGTCATGACCCAGAGGACTCATTGGAAAGTTATGACCCGAAGGAGTATGTCACTTTCTGAGGAATCATAACAAAGGATAAATTCACGTTTTGAGGAGTCTTGACCCAAAGGACTAGGTCACATCTTGGGGGTCATGACTGAAAGGAGTAGGTCACTTTTTAGGACGTCATGATCCAAATGAATGGGTCACTTTTTGGGAAGTCATGAAGTGAAGGGATTAGACACATTTTTGGGGGGTTGGGGGTTGGTTGAACCTAAGGAGTAGGTCACTTTTAGGGGGAGGATATATTATTGTTGAAGGTTGGGATGTTGACCCAATGAAGCTGAGGAACGTTCTGTCAAGATAACATAAATTTTCCTCCTTTATACAGTCAAAATGTGAGAACATCACATTGTTAGGTAAAAGGTAGCAATATTGCATTAATTTGGTTGCTCACTGACTGAGCAACAACATAAGGTAATATTGATTAAATTTGATTTTATTGACAATAAAGAAAACATTATACTTTTTTTCAAACAATGAAATAAATTAGATTTTGTTTTAATCCAAGTAGAAGTCTTGTGATTTCAATTAAGTTCCTCGCCCTGCAGTCTGACAACCAACAAACACAGACGAAATATCAGGTCCTCCTCTCAAACTGCTATTACAAATCATGTACAGCAAGTGTCGCCATTGTTTTGGACAGGATAAACCACGTGATCGGGGCTCAAACACAAACGGCTGGCACAGGCACATATATATGGTGGCATCCAACAAAATACCTGGTAAGAATTAAGGGATAAATGCTGTACATGTACCGCTCATACTCATGGTAATTTCTAAGGCCAACTGCCGGTGTATGCATTGCAAATAAAGTAAATCATTACAGTTACAGAAGTTTTGAGTTAATTCAAAACATTTTAATATCATTTTATATTCTGTAGTGTCTATGATATTCAAAGGTGTTTCGTTGTATTCTAGGACGATATTGTAAATGAAGTAAGGTTGAGCTTTGATCGTGAAGGGACTGTGATCAATTTCTCCCTCAATAAAGAGAACAGAAAACAGAATATTCAAGGTAAGACTAAATTAATGGAGGCTGCTTTGAATGCTGATTAAAGATATGACACAACTAACGTCTTTGGAGGAGGGGGTTGGGTGTATTTTGTAAGATTGAGTGCGATTTGTTTGAATTCATATCTTGTGGTAATATTTGATTACTAATTGTCCTGAATAACAATTCTTTTTTCTATACTTAGGTAGTATTTCATATGCTGTGTTTTAACAATAAGGAAATGCATGATTGTTTATCGATTTCAGAAATGGTTCTTTTGAGACAGACAGGGATTGTTATCGGTGCTGGAGGCTTATTTGACCATTTTAAAGGATATGTAGATGAGGTATGGAATAATTTAAGATTACGAAATTAAACAAATGTTTTCATGATTCATCGTCTCACCGTTAAATAAATATGATTTTTTTTCTGTTTTGTTTTCGTTACTTTTGTTTGTAATGTATATCTTTGTATTAAGTAAAAAGAGTATGTCAAAAATCATATGATTTGGAATTTTTAAAAAAAACGAAATCACTTGGAAATTCGTATTTATTTAAATAATTTGTTGATGTTAAGAAAAAAAATCTTTTTTTTATTTGGTAGATTAAAGTACAACACTGCGATGGGGACCCTCCTATTCATGTCTGAAGAGTTTGAACATATGTGAATATTGTCATCAATTAAAAAACGGGAAAATCTAGAATAAAGTGGGAAGTAGGATCAGTTAAAGATTTTGGTTGTTGTACACATGGTGCTGATTGCAAGTTAATTATAAAACAAAATAACGTGAACTTCTCTTAATTGCTGAATTTTCTTGTGCTGAATAAATTCGGAAAATTAGTGTGAAGTGTAAATTTCCTCTATACTTATCTATCTGTTTAACGTAGGTCGCGGGTTTGCTGACGTCGTTAAAACTGGGTACGCAATTTATATAATTTGGGCGACTTTCTTGTGCACATTTGATTATGACGTCACAATGAAAAAGAAATCTGCGATGAGTTTTGTTTTATTTTAAAAATTCTTCAGTATATTATTATTTAGCTACAACTTTTCTTGGAATTGGTAGTTAAGTGTTATATTATTTAAGCAACAACTTATCACAAATAATGAAGACTTTTTACGATTTGTATAGTCGATGCAATACTTACATATAACTTTTGTTGGAATTGGTAATTTAGTGAAGAAGGCTTACTACGATTCGAATGATCGACACTGGAAGTATTAAAAAACGTTTAATTATTTGTTATCTTCTCGGGCCTTTCCTGCAAGCTTGGAAAATACAAGTGGTTGTTTTTTGGCTTGTCGGAAAGGCCCGAGAAATTGCGATTGATTTGTTTTCACTTGGTATCGCGAAACGATATGGACATAATTAAGATTCATCTGACCTTTTTTCCTTTGAACGTATTTGAATTAACAGTTTGTTTTATTAATAAAGAAGCCATTATTTAAAAAAAAAAACGCAAATACACCTGTTACATCAAAAGATTAACCTTTATTTTAAAAAAGGGTATTTTTAAAATATATAAATCTACAAGGTACGATGAAACATAAAGACAATTTTTTAGCGACACTGACCTCCTGTTAGGGGACAACTATTTGATTTTGAGGGAGAGGGGGTGGCAAATTTTACCGAGTAAGATTGTTTATTTTCATGTCGGTGAAGGACAGATTATTTATTTCTGCTTCACTGGAAAAAGTCTGACAAGCAAAAAAAAAAAAAACAAAAACAAAAACAAAAAAAAAAAAAAAAGGAAAGAAAAAGAAAGAAATACATCAAAGTTGAAAACTCCCATTGGAAAGGGGGGGGTGCTAGAACTACCGGTAGTCATGGACAGATTATTTATTTTCAACATTTTCGAGGACAGATTATTTATTTACAAAATTTGTAAGCCCCCCCCCCCCCCCGAATGAAATAATCGTCCCCTAAGCAACAGCATGCAATGCTGTTAAATATATACATGTACCTACAGATTTTATTCGCTACTTTGCTTTCCATATCCAACAAGTAGAATTAATGTTCTAAAAAATGGCTGTTGATAACGTCAGATAAAATTAATTTGCAAATCTCGTCCCATTTACCTCTATGAAAATGTGGTATGTAAAAATAAATATTTTTTTTTAAATATACACCGAAAATATATTGCATTTAGCCGGGACGATATTTGGCAGAAATTCGTAGATTTGAGCGCCTTGCTGAATGGTCTAAATAAAAAAAAATTATGTACTTGAATTACTTGAATTAGAGGATAGGGTTTTCCGCCAGCACGCTGGAAAAGAAAAATACACCAAATGTAAGGATACGTCTAATCTACGAAAAAATGCAAAACAAAAACAAACAGAAAAGAAACGATAAGAAAACAACACATAAAGAAAGTAATTTGGAAGAAAGAAACTTAAGGATTGACTGTTGTTTAACGTCCCTTGCGAGAATTTTCACAAATATAAGACGTACAAAAAAACCTAATCTGAAGAGAAACATGTCTAATAATCTTTTCATTGATATTGAATTATTATGATACGATTCACGGGTCACTTGAAAGCCGATAGGCGTGATTTTTTTAAAATAAAAATTATCTTATTTTTCTGCACTGAATACCGGAGAGACCTTCACGACGTCAAGCATGACGTCGCGATATTTTATGACGTCGTTCTTAAAAATGTTACATTTTGCGATATAAAAACAATTATCCACATTTAACTTACGCGAAAACGAACCCGAAGACATATTAATTTTTTCACATTGATTTATTTCAAATCAATTCTTTGTTAAAATACCAAAGGGGAAACAATTTCGTCTGTACCATTTAAAAGTTATTGGTATTTATTGAAACAAAAATCTTGCCTCAAAACGAGCCGAAAACGACGTTTTTCTTATATAATTCAATAGAATAACGTCGAAAATGTAACGACAACAATGGCATGTTTGGGATTTAATTACACAAAAACGATGCAGACGAATTTTATAAAATTTTCAGAGAATATAAAACGAAGGTAGAGGATTCATATAACTAATTTTCATGATATGTTTTCGGACACTTTTAAATGGCCTGCAAACCCGCGACCTACGTTAAGGAACCTGTTTAAACAGGTAGATGGAATAATATTGATAGAAATTTAAGAATATGTACCATTTGTGATTGTAAAAATATTGGTGATGCATTTCATTATGTTATGGAATGCAAGTACTTTTCAAATGACAGAAAAGTATTTCTCCAAAATAGATATTGTAAAAATTCTAACACTTTCAAATTTAATGAACTTATGAATACAAATAATGTAGAAATACAAAGATCATTGTCAAAATTTATTAAGAAAATTTTCAAAACTGTCTGTCTTTCTTGAATACTCCACATATACAACTGATTTTTTTTATTCTTCTTCTTTTTTCTTTATATACTTGTCTATTTTTTTTACCCTTAACTGTAATTTTTGTTTGTATATATGTATATATGTACCTCTTGCACCAGTGATCTGGTTTAGAAAGAATAAAGAATTGAAAGGATATCCCCTCCTCAGCCAGGAAGGGTAACCCTTACAATTATTATTTAATTAATAAAGTCTCGCAATTAAGCTTGAAATTGAAATCTTTTCGTTCAACAATTTTCATTTCAATATGATTCAAGGTTCTTTGAAGTCTTCGAAAAGGTCTTGTAAAATGTTGAAATTTAAATTTGTACCCAACAAAAGTACAAAAATAAAAACATTTTTAGAGAAATTGAATTTCCTTTAAACTATCCTTAGATACCAATGTTTATTAGCTTGATATGAAATTAGAAGACTTAGTGATCTGTGATGTCTTACAATAGCACAAACGTCTTACACCATCTGTTATATATGTAGCAATTGGAGTAAATAGAACTAAAATACCCTATAAGTATAAAAAAAAAACATGCACTTTTCTCCAAATGCCTGGATACCTATAATTTTTATCGTAAAATATATATTTGTTGATCAACTTTCAATAAGAAAATGCATTGCGGTTTCCTTTATTCGCGTTTTCCGAAAATATATTTGTCATTTTCTACATTTTGAATTTACCGGGTGGCAGTAAATACAAAATTTACAACATGAAAGCTAGTTGTAAATAGTATGTGTATAGAGAGGGTATTTATAGGCATTGCCTGTTACCCATTCGATTCATTATTTTGAATAAATATTGTTTAAAACAACTAGTTGTAAATTTTGTATTTACTGCCACCCAATAAATTCAAAATTTACAACATAATCTACATGTATTATTTGAGATTTGATAATTTTCCGTTTATAAATTGATGAACTATAATGATAAATGTTGAAGAAATACACATTACTTCGATAATTCAGAGACATTTTTGTGTGCATTTTCAATTACTCAACTCCTGATTTTCAGAACCTGAGGATCGGACTACTTTTTTTTATTTAATATCATACGGGTGTGCAAAATAAAAAGAAAATGGGTCTCTTGAAATTCTGTTAGTTTTCAAAAACAAGTACTTTTGGCCTGAGAGTCAAAGAACTAAAAACTTTTAACTGACCTAATATTTCCTGATTATTCATTACCTGTTTGACATTTTTAGCTCACCTGAGCCGAAGGCTCAAGTAAACTCTTCTGATCAAAATTTGTCCGTTGTCTATTGTTGTCGTAAACTTTCCACATTTTCATCTTCTCAAGAACCTCTGGGCCAATTTCAACCAAACTTTGCACAAAGTATCCTTGCCTAAAGGGGATTCAAGTTTGTTCAAATGAAGGACCACGCCTTCTTCCAAGGGGAGATAATTATGAATTCGTGAAAAATTAATGGCATCATCTAAAAATCTTCTTCTCAAGAACCACTGTGCTTGAAAATATGAAACTTATATGGAAGCATCCTCAGGTAGTGTAGTTTGTACAAATCATAACCCTCGTGGGTAGGGTGGGGCCACAATGGGAGATCAAAGTTTTACATAGGAATATAACGGAGCAATCTTTAAAAAATTTTTCTCAAGAACAGCAAAGCCATGATTATTCATAATTATATGGAAGCATCCTCAGGCAGTGTAGATTCAAGCTTGTTCAAATCATAACCCCCGGGGATAGGGTGGGGCCACAATGGGCGATCAAAATTTTACATAGGAAAAATCTTCAAAAATCTTCTTCTCAAGATTAGCAAAGCCAGTCATAATTTAATGGAAGCATCCTAAGGTAATGTAGACTCAAATTTGTTCAAAATCATATCCCTCAGGAAAATCGAAGGGTCAAAACAGGGGATCATAGTTACACAAAGGAATACAAAAGATTTATCAATAAAAATTTTCCTCTTAAGAAGAGCAAAGCCATTATTTGTCATTTTGATTCAAAAGCATCCTGGGAAGTATAGATTCAAGTTAGTTCAAATCAACCCCCTCCCCCCCCCCCCCCCGAACCAGTTTTATATTTAAACTATTCAAGACTAAACTGATTTCTTCTTTTTCCTAGCCAGAGTGCTCAGGTGAGCGATGCGGCCCCTGGGGCTCTTGTTTACAAACATTGTCGATAGCTTTGACTTTCACGTGGTGGCCACACACTTCTCTATGGCTACAACATCTCCTTATCTACAGAGAAGGTGAATATATTGATTTTATTCTATGGTGATCAAGTTAAGATTCACCAAGAAGTCGAACATGGCGGGTGTTGTCTTTAACTTTTTGAATGTACCTAGCAACATGAATATTTCGAAAAAATGTTGATAACAGCGATTTGGAGCTTTAATGTTAATTATTATATTCAGACACACTTACTGTAAAAGAAAACAATAATGCACTGAAACCGAACCCCTGTGGTGTTCTGATGAGTTAATGCTAAACCTTTCAACCTGGTCTGTATAAT